ATGTCTATTTTAACTTGGACACCTATGTCTATGCAGAAATTGCCACTATCATGCACTTAGTTGCTCAAACCAAAAATTTAGCAATTATCCTTTTCACCAATCTCCCATGACAGTCTCCCAGCAGGCCCTTTGTAAGGCTGATCATTTTTATCCTGTAAGTCTCAGCCTAAATATCCCCTTCTGTGCGAAGCCTACCCTGAGCAGCTTTCCAAAATGCCCTCCACCAGTTATGTTCTTATGTTACTAGCTCGGTCAGTTCCCTTCATGGCACTTATTACAGTTATTCTCTTATTTATTATTCATTTGATTGTGTTTGCTTACTTTCCTGTTGGCTTCTTGTCTGTTTTCCACACTAGATGTAGCTCCATGAGGATATAGACTGTTTCTTTCATTCACCCTGTATTTCCAGCTCTTAGCTCAATGCCTTGCACATAGTTCACACTTCATAAATATACTCTGGATATCATTGATAGGGCTCAGTGGTATGCTGATAAATGTCTAGCTCTCTTTCAAAAAACAGTCCCAATTTGTATCATTTTCCCATATCTGTGGTGTAAATAGGAGCCCTTGTGGCGCAGTGCATTTGGCTGCTAACCACAAGGTCAGCAGTTCTCCCACCAGCCTCTTTGTGGGAGAAAGATGTGGCAGTCTGTTTCCATAAAGATCTACAGCCTTGGAGACCCTGTGGGACGGTTCTGCTCTGTTCTATGAGTTGGAATGTACTCAACGGCAGTGGGTTTGATTTGGTTTGGTGGTATAATACTCCCACCATGGCAGATTTCAAGGAATGTGACACCACTTGTCATGGATTGAACTGTGTCCCCCCAAAAATGTGTATAACAATTTGGCTAGGCCATGATTTCCAGAATTGTATGGTTGTACTCCACTTTGTGATTGTAATTTTGTGTTAAAGAGTATTAGAGTGGAATTGTAACACCACCCTTACTCAGGTCACATCCCTGATACAATGTAAAGGGAGTTTCTTTGGGTTATGGCCTGCATCACCTTTTATCTCTTGTAAGAGATAAAAGGAAAGAGAAGCAAGCAGAGAATTGGGGGACCTCATACCATCAAGAAAGCAGTGCCAGAAGCAGAGCACATCCTTTGGACCAGGGTCCTTGCGCAGAGAAGCTCCTAGTCCGGGGGCACACTGAAGAGAAAAAGGCTGACAGAGAGGAAAAAGCCTTCCCCTGGAGCTGACGCCCTGAATTTGGACTTTTGGCCTACTTTGACTGTGAGGAAATAAACTTCCACTTGTGGTGTTTCTGTTATAGCAGCACTAGATGACTAAGACACCACTGAACATGCAGTTGGGATGCTCACAGTAGCACAAAGTAGTACTTCTTGTTACATTGCTGCAGGCTTCTCCCTGGGAGTAGACCCGTTTCATTACTTGTTCCAGCTGCATTTTGTAACTAAAGAGATCAACCATTTCATCTATCTCTTTAAGTTGTCCACCCCTTTGCTATTCTAAGTTCTTAGGTAGAGAATGCTTCTACTATACAGATATAATAGATATATGTCACTTAAAGAGCATGGTGTTGTTGTTAGGTGCCGTTGACTTATAGCGACCCTATGTACAGCAGAACAAAACACTGCACAGTCCAGCGCCATCCTCACAATCTGCCCATTGTTGCAACCACTGTGTCAGTCCATCTTGTTGAGACCCTTCCTCTTTTTCTCTGACAGTCTACTTTACCAAGCATGATGTCCTTCTCCAGGGACTGGTCTTTCCTGATAACATGTCCAAAGTATGTGAGATGAAGTCTCGCCAACCTTGCTTCTAAGGAGCATTCTGGCTGTACTTCTTCCAAGACAGATTTGTTCTTTCTTCTGACAGTTCGTGGTGTATTCAGTATTCTTTGCCAACACCATAATTTGAAGCCATCAATTCTTCTTCAGTCTTCCTTATTCATTGTCCAACTTTCACATGCATATGATGTGATTGAAAATACCATGGCTTGGGTCAGACATAGTCCTTACAGTGACATCTTCGTTTTTAACACTGTAACGAGGTCTTTTGCAGCAGATTTGCCCAATGCAGTGTGTCATTTGATTTCTCGACTGCTGTTTCATGGGATCCAAGTAAAAGGACAACTTCAGTATTTTCTCTGTTTATCTTGATGTTGCTTATTGGTCCAGTTGTGAGATTTTTATTTTCTTTATGTTGAGGTGTAATCCATACTGAAAGCTGTGGTCTTTGATCTTCACAGTAAGTGCTTCAAGTCCTCTTCACTTTCAGCAAACAAGGTTGTTATCTGTGTATCGCAGATGGTTAATGAGTCTTCCTCCAATCCTGATGCCCTGTTCTTCATATAGTCCAGCTTCTTGGATTCTAGATATTAGAAAAAGGTAGTAAAATAATTAAGTGATGAATTTTAAGTACTTATTACCTTTGTTTTTAAAATTCTTTATTTAATTGTAACTTTATATATTTTAATTTTTACTAATGGTTATATTTAGCAACTGGCTTGCACAGTTCCTAAAAATTGAACCATCTGCTCTTGCAAGCCAATACAAGCTGGCTCCAACACACCACTGGAAATGATCTATGAGTTGATCCACTGACAACTCTCTGCCCTGTAGTGTTTGGCTCTTAAACAAAGGAAGGAAGATGGTTGGCAGAGATAGGTGGGTGAACTGTTATTGCAGAAACATTTCTCTGACAGTTTTTACTCACCTGCATTAAACGTACTGTTAGAGAAAGTGATGCTAATGTTTCCTTTCATTGTGATGTACATAAGTTGGTACAATGACTAGACAAGAGAATGGGGTGGCAGCAGTAAGAAATAAACACTGTATTTTTTGCAAATAGCATGCCTACATAAATAATGCACCCACACATATAATGTGCAGAAATGATGAAATTAAGTAAAACAGTTGTGACACAGCACACCCATGCGTATATTGCATGTGTCTCATGACATTTCCATAAGTGACTTTCAGTCTCATTAACTCATCCTGCATACTACAGGTATTGTTCTGTTCATTTTCTTTAATCTGCTTATGTGTATAAAAATACTCTGAAATGCTACTTTTGATCATAATTGTATAATAAAGGTATAAACCATGGTCAAGAAATCATGGATCGAGTTTGGTAGTCCCCTGGTAATAAACAATTGAAACTATTGGCTTGTTTCTGTTAATTTAAGTTGATAATTATAGCACATTATCTCAACATTTAAATGTGAAAACCTTATCAGATCGTCATAAGCGAAACCATTAGGTTTGTTAGGTCTGCTTATTTCATGGTTTAATTATGTCTTCTTACTGTCAACTGAAGTCAGCAACATGGAAAAAAATTGGTATAGCGTGCTTATGAAAATAACGCATGGATGGTTGTGCGGTGGGCAAAAAGACACAGTACGTGCGTTATTTGCAAAAAAAGTATGCTAACTCACAGAGAGGGAAAAGGAGTAAACACCATCTTAACTTTCCACTTAGAGTGCTAGAATATCTTATTGCCAGAGATGGTTTTAGATCCTGAAGTGCTTGATGGTCAACAGCACTTCATTTTCAGGAAATTAGCCCAGGGCCAGAAGTCCCTCATGCCTATTTTAAGTCATTGAGGACTTAGTCACCTGGGCTGCTTACCACTTCACATTCACCTGTGTGTCTGTAGTGAGATGGGAATGAGCTCCAGATGATATCTGTAGCTAGGCCTGTGGAAGTCTGGGGACTCAGAGCAGATAATTGAGGGGAGGTGACAAGCTCAGAGATAAAGGATCAGAAATAGGAGAAATAAGGCAAAGAGTCACATTGTGGATACGTTGCCACCCTGTGTAGGGTTTTCTCCTGACAAAGTGTAGTTACAGGTGGACCTTGTATTTTCAGATAATGAGACTATTGATAAAGAAAATATAAATCATAATTAATACCATTTACTATATTTGAGTTTAGTTAGCCAGTAAGAAATTATTAGCTCCATCTGTGAAAGTCAGGGGACTAGAGTTTGGTGAATGCCCTTGACTTTTACATCCAACAACACTGAGACACTCTGTCTCTACTTTAACACTGGCTAGAGTTTCTCAAGCCTTGACTCATATCTTAGCCCATAGAAATCTGTGTAAGCCAACAGAATCAATCCTAGAGTGGAATAATTATTACCTCCCTTATTATACAGCTGCATGCCCCCTCACCCCCATCAAAAATTTTTCTAACTTAAGTTGACCAGATGGAAAGGGGTGAATTAGATGAGGTACCATTTTTCTTGGATTGGTTTGGTTCAAATAATATTTAATGAGTCCATGTTTAGTGCCTGGTACTGTGCTAGTAGCTGAGGTTATAAAGATAAAAGATATAGGTGTTGCACTCAAGCAGGGGGCTAGGGAGGGCATCAAGAAAAACAGGAATTTTAAACACAGCTTGCCATGAGCTGTGATACAGATGTAATAGAGTGTTCTTGGAGCCCAGGTGAAAGCACATTAACTTAGATATCAAGAAGGGTTTTCTGGAAGTGATAGTAACTTGATATTGCAGTATGAGTGGAAGTTAGATAATAAAGGGGAGTTAGGACCTTCAGAGGGATGGAGAGCACTGTAAAAAAGTGAAGCACAGAATACATGTTGAGTGCCTGGAGTTTAGGCTTGAAGGCAGAACTTTGTGCCACTGTCTCTCCATTCCCAGGCTAGTTTTCCCATTATTGTCTTCTCTGGGGACTTCAGGAGCCCTGGTGGCACAGTGGTTAAAGTGCTTGGCTGCTACCCAAAAGGTTGGTAGTTTGAACCCACCAGGCACTCCATGGGAGGAAGATGTGGCATTCTGTTTCTGTAAAGATTTACAGCCTTGGAAACCCTATGGGGGCAGTTCTGCTCTGTCCTACAGGGTCTCTAGGAGTCAGAATCAACTTGACGACAGTGGGTTTGGATTTGGGTTTTGGTTTTGGGGACTTTGGTGATCTGCTTCAAGAGGTGAGGTTCTCAGAATAATACTTAATGGAGAAGTAAAAACCAGAGATACCCTTGTCATATTTCATGTTATTGCTCTATGTTCTCCTACAGCTGTTGCCTATTCATACTCTGAGGCTTGGTGTGGAAGTGGATTCCTTTGATGGACACCATTACATCTCTTCGATTGTTCCAGGTGGCCCTGTTGCTACACTGAATCTCTTACAGCCAGAGGATGAGCTTCTTGAGGTAAAATTTATGAGGGAAAAACATGCCATTCAGGGCAGAAAGTTTTGAGTTCTAAGAAAATGTTCTCACCAGAAATCTACTGAAATTGACTGCATGGCAATGTCATGTGAGCTACGTACGTTGAAAAATTATTATCAGTGTATCTGTTGTAAATGACACAGATGATAAAGGAAGTAGGTAATATGCTTTCCATTTATTTTACCAGTCTTTTTGGGTTCCTGAGTGCTGAGATATCCCTTTGAGTGCTTACTTAAGTGATTGACCAAGATGAAGTTAATGTTCTTTTTTTTAGTGTGGTAGCATAATTGTTATTATTTTTTTCAGCAAAATTATTTTGAAGAGTCTAATCACAGATTCTTCTTTGGAACATGTATCACATTTATTTGCAGATTTGTTGATTATTTCTAATAAGAGTTATAGATGGATGACCTCAAAGACTTGTCTATAGTTGACTGGGTTTTCAAACTATCTCCTTGGAACTCCCCCCTAACATGGCTGCCTTTGGTTGGCTCCCTTGAGCTCCCAGCCTCCTTTCAATCAGGGCAGTTCTAGAGCACCTCTGCTCTGACATGACTTTGAGAAATTTTGTTAAATTGGAAATCACAGCAAACAAGCAAACAAAATGACATTTAAAATTCCCAATTTTACAGATAATAATCTACTGACTTCCTCAACTTTATACACTGAATTATTGCTAAAATGATGACTTTAGTTCATGTTTCCTAACTCCCACTTCATTGTTCTTTCAAATATAGTACACTATCTCCTAAGCCCCTAAAGAGATGTAGGGGGATGGCGAAATATAGAGGAGGCCGCATAGAAAAGAGTTCTCCCAAGAGTTAGGATCCACAAGAAGCCCTAGGTTGGGTTTAATAGAAACAACCCAGTAGCCTTAGAATTATAGAGATTTCTTTCTGAAAATTCTGTTTGTTCAAAGTGAAATGACAGAGTAGAAATGGGTTTCATGTTGGGTGCAATTACAGTTTTATTAGTAGTGGCCGGCCACCTAGAGGGGGTGTGTTGAGAATTCTGGTTTGGATTTCGAGCTCAGAGGGAAGATGTGCTGTGATTAGTTATCAAATTCTGTCATAAGCAGGAGAGGGCATGGTGTTGGAGTCCACTTTTAAGATGTAAGTTGCCTATTTTTAGAGGTATTCAAGGGAATATTGGGCTACTTATTGGGGATTAATGCCCTAGATTTTAGTAGATAACTTATGTTTTCTTTTTGATGCTGAGATCCTGTCTTTCTCTTTTCATTGGCAGGGTTTGTAGCATAGCTTTGTAGATATCATATGTGATAACCTGTAGATTTAGAGGTTATTGCTATAATATTTAGCTATTAGGTATTAAGAAACAAGATATATGTGTTTGGGAGATGTGGAGGTATCTGTAAAAATCAGTTTAGTTCACTATGAATTTACTGCTAGTATGTAGTAGGGTACTGAAGAAATGTTGGCTGGATCTGAGTAGAGCAAGTGTAGGTGATCCAGCCATCAACTGAGTCCTCTGTGCCTTAGCTAATCTTTACTTAAGAATTCAAAAAATCTTCATGCTGCCTTATTATACCCAATTCCACTACAAGGCAGGAGGCCCATGAATATTCTAAAGTATAGATTTCTAGTAAAGAACTTAGGATGGGGAAAGAAGCACAGGTTTGGATATGAGAAGAGCTGTTTTTGGTTCTGAGTTTGCCACAGCTTAGCCACATGTTCATTGGAATGTCACTTAAACATTTTTTGAGAATGAGTTTGTTAATAGATGCCTACTAGAGTGTTTCTTAGAAGTGAGGATGGTAAGATTTTGGCTTGCTTACTTTGGATATGCTATCAGCAAAGACCAATCACTAGAAAAGGTTGTCATGTTTGGTAAAGTAGAGGCCAGCAAAAATGAAGGGAACCCTCAGTGAGATGGATTGACATGATAACCACAGCAGTGGACTCAAACATACCAAAAATAATGAAGATGATGCAGGTCCAGGCAACATTTCATTCTGTTATACATACGGTCACCATGTGTTAGAGCTGACTTAACAACAACAATCTCACTGTGAGAAACTAACGGAATATATCCATGTAAACTATAAGGCATTATCTCACAGTGTGGTATTGGCGATATTTTCACTACGAAAAAGGCTTCATAACAGCCTTTATGGGAAAGAAAGAGAATTGAATAAGGTAATTTAGTGGGACAGTACTTAGACAATATTATGTACACTAGAAATGTGTATGTGTATTTTCTAATCAGAAAGTCTGAATAATCGAGACTTGACAGCACTTAAGAGGGTCTCAAGTTGAAGGACCTAGAGAAATATTGTGAATTCTAAAATAAAAATTGGCTTGTTCTGAGTAACAGAATATAGAAATAAAAAGTCTCTGTAAAGTAGCCAGAAGAACTCCTGAACTTAAAATGTGTGTGTGTGTGTGTGTGTAATGTACTCCTTAGAGCTTAAAACCAGAAACACAAATATGCTTTGGGGTTAGTACATGGTGCCAAGTCTCAGCCCAGAACAGCTATTTACAGCTGCCATAAATCCCCTCAGATAGGAGTTGGTGATGGGAAATGTGACCAATCCCTTCAGCTATAGAGAGTAGTGAGGAGGACTACCAGGCACTGCTATAATAACTGGAGACAATTCAAATGAATAAATGATGAGCTAAATAAATATTTAAATGTACTCCAAGATAAAAACCTGAAAAGTGATTTTCTAATTTGTTGAAGTAATGTGAAACACAAACTAATACTTGTGTATGGATAGAATTCCTGCTTCAATTGTATCTGCTTGCTTTCTTTTAGTTTAGGTAACTACTCATTCAGCTGATTTCAGAACTTTTGTGCTTGTGGCATCAGTTGGCCCCAGGGATATGGTGTGACCAGTGATGGGTACCTCCTTGCCCCTTCTTGTGTGAAGATTGAGTTGCAGTTCTTCCAAGGAAAACCCTTTAATCTGCTGCAGAAGTTGCTATTCCCTGGAGCCCTTTCATCAGTCATAGGGCCCTGGGAGATGATATTTACTTTTCTGCTAGGGCTAGTTCCCTGAGGCACACATGTGTCTCTTGACCATGTTGTAATTTCTTTGTAAATAATTAAGAGGTGGGGAGATTATGTCTGGCCTGATTGCTAAGTGCTTGGTATGTTATAGGCCTGAGAGTGATTCTCAGGGACAATTGACTAGAGGCTCAGCTTGCTGCAGATGGGATCCTTCCAACAACCCACTGTCCTCTTATACTCTGGCGCAGTGACAGATTTTGTGGAAAGGTTACTCCCGGTATAGTTCAAGTCCACCTTGCCAGTTACCTGGACATTAGCGCTGCACCTGTCAGAGACTAATGCCAGATTAGAAATACCTTTAAAAATAAGAATGCTGATAAACCCTCATAGGGAGATAAGAGTCAGATGTAAAAAGATTATCTGTTGCTTGGAATTGTGCTCATGCTTCAGCTTTCTAGGGGTAGCAGGCAGATCAGCTTTTAGTGACCTGTAGTCAGAACTGAGAGAGCATCCTGAGCTAATGTCATTTATGTGAAAAGTTAAAATAGGCTTACTTTTCTAGATCATATGTAAAATCTAGATATTTTTGGAGATAGGGATTGTTAATGAGGAATAGTTGGTTATCATTAAAAAAAATTAAAAAAAACATGTAGAGAAGTTTCCATAAAATAATTTGAATACTGGCACACCTTCTACACTACAGTTGGGATTGACTGTATGGCAACGGGTTTTTTAAAGGATAGTATTTAAGCACAGTATCTTTTAAAGGATAGTATTTTTTTTTTTTAAGGCCCCCCACACGTCTGTCAGTTTGTTGTACTATAGGGGCTTGCATGTTGTTGTGATGCTGGAAGCTATGCCTCTGGTATTCAGATACCAGCAGGGTCGCTCATGGCGGACAGGTTTCAGCTGAGCTTCCAGACTAAGACAGACAGTCTACTTCTGAAAAGAATTAGCCAGTGAAAACCTTATGAACATTGCCTGATATAGTGTGGGAAGATGAGCCCCTCAGGTTGAAAGGCACTCAAAATACGACTGGGGAAGAGCTGCCTCCTCAAAGTAGAGTCGACTTTAATGGTATGGATGGAGTCAAGCTTTCGGGACCTTCATTTGCCCATGTGGCACAACTCAAAATGAGAAGAAACAGCTACAAACATCCATTAATAATTGGAATGTGGAATGTATGAAGTATGAATCTAGGAAAATTGAAAGTCATCAGAAATGAAACAGAATGCATAAACATCAACATCCTAGGTATTAGTGAGCTGAAATGAACTGGTATTGACCATTTTGAATCAGACAATTGTATGGTCCACTATGCGGGAAATGGCAACTTAAGAGGAATGGAGTTGCATTAATTGTCAAAAAGAACATTTCAAGATCTGTCCTGAAGTACAACACTGTCAGTGATAGGATAATGTCCATATGCCTACAAGGAAGACCAGTTAATATGACTGTTATTCAAATTTACACAGCAACCACTAAGGCCAGAGAGGAAGAAATTGAAGATTTTTACCAACTTCTGCAGTCTGAAGTCGATCAATCAGGATGCATTAATAATTACTGGTGATTGGAATGCAAAAGTTGGAAATGAAGGATGGGTAGTTGGAAAATATGGCTTTGGTTATAGAAGTGATGCTGGAGATCGCGTGATAGAATTTTGCAAGACCAATGACTTCTTCATTGCAAATACCTTTTTTCACCAACATAAACGGCGACTATACACGTGGACCTCACCAGAGGGGATACACAGGAATCAGATCAACTACATCTGTGGAAAGAGACGATGGAAAAGCTCAATATCATCAGTCAGAAAAAGGCCAGGGGCCAACCGTGGAACAGACCATCAATTGCTCATATGCAAGTTCAAATTGAAACTGAAGAAAATTAAAACAAGTCCACGAGAGCCAAAGTACGATCTTGAGTATATCCCACCTGAATTTAGAGACCATCTCAAGAATAAATTTGATGCGTTGAACACTAATGACCAAAGACCAGACGAGTTGTGGAAT